GTACCTCACTGGGTGGTTGCTGTCTACCAACCTATACCACAGGGACGGTAGTACCTCCTGGGTGGTTGCTGTTACCAAACCACTACCAAAGGTCGGTAGTTACCTCTGGGACTGGTTGCTGTTACAACCTACTACCACAGGGCCGGTAGTTAGTACGTTTCCTGGGTGGTGTCTGATCTACTATCGCCACCTAATTACAAACAGGGAACGGTAGTACCTCCCTGGGTGGTTCCTGTCTACCAAACTACTACCACAGGACGGTAGTACTCCCTGGGTGTTGTCTACCAACCAACTACCACAGGGACGGTAGTTACTCTCTGGGTGGTTGTTGTTCTACCAAACCTACTCCCACAGGACGGTAGTAACCTCCCTGGGTGGTTGCTGTCTACCAACCTACTACACAGCGACGGTAGACCTCCCTGGGTGGTTGCTATCTACCAACCTACTACCACAGGACGGTGTTACCTCCCTGGGTGGTTGCTGTTCTACCAACCTACTACCACAGGAACGGTAGTACCATCCCCTGGGTGGTTGTTGTCTACGCAACCTACTACTACCAGGGACGGTAGTACCTCCCTGGGCGGTGTTGTCTACCAACCTACTACGCAGGACGGTTGTACCTCCCTGGGATGGTGTTGTCTACCAACCCTAATACCACAGGACGGTGTACCTCCCCTGGGTGGTTGTTGTCTACCAACTACTACCACAGGACGGTGACCTCCCTGGTGGTTGCGTTCTACCAACCTTCTACACAAGGCACGGTAGTTCCTCCCTGGGTGGTTGCTGTCTACCAACCTACTACCAAGGGGACGGTAGTACCTCCTGGGTGGTTGGCTTGTCCTACCAAATACTACCACAGGACGGTGTACACTCCCATGGGTGGTTGTTGTCTACCAACCTAGTACCACAAGGTCGGTAGTACCTCCTGGGCGGTATGTTGTCTTACAAACATACTACACAGGACGGTAGTAACTCCCTGGGTGGTTGTTGTCTACCAACCTACTACCACAGGACGGTAGTCCTCCCTGGGTGGTTGCTGTACTACCAACTACTACCACAGGACGGTTGTACTCCCTGGGTGGTTGCTGGTCACCAACCTACTACCACAGGACGGTAGTACCTCCTTGGGTGGTTTCATGTTCTACCAACCTACTACCACAGGACGGTAGTACCTCCTGGGTGGTTGCTGTTACCAACCTACTACCACAGGACGGTAGTACCTCCTGGGTGGTTGCTGTCCAACACCAACCTACTACCACAAGGACGGTGTACCTCCCTGAGGTGTTTGCTGTTACCAACCTACTACCACAGGACGGTATACCTCCCTGGGTGTTGCTGTTTACAAACCTACTACCACAGGACGGTAGTACCTCCCTGGGTGGTTGCTGTCCTACCAACCTATACCACAGGATGGTAGTACCTCCCTGGGTGGTGCTGTCTACCAACCTACTACCACAGGACGGTGTACCTCCTGGGTGGTTGCTGTCTACCAACCTCCTGATACCACAGGACGGTAGTACCTCCCTGGGTGGTTTCTGGTCTACCACCTACTACCACAGGACGGTAGTACCTCCCTGGGTGGTTGCTGTTACCTACTATACCACAGGACGGTGTACCTCCCTGGCGTTGCGTGCTGTCCACCAACCTACTACCACAGGACGGTAGTACCTACCTGGTGTGGGTTGCTGTCTACCAACCTACTACCACAGCGACGGTAGTACCTCCCTGGGCGGTTGCTGTCTCAACCTACTACCACAGGGCTGGTTCGTACCTCCCTGGGCGGTTGCTGTCTACCCAAACCTACTACCACAGGACGGTTAGTACCTCATGGGTGGTTGCTGTCTTACCAACCTACTACACAGGACGGTAGTACCTCCCTGGGTGGTTGCTGTCTACCAACCTACTACCACAGGACGGTAGATACCTCCCTGGGTGGTTGGGTTACCAAACCTACTACCACAGGCGGTAGTACCTCACTGGGTGGTTGTTGTCTACCAAACCTACTACACAGGTCGGTATGTACTCCCTGGGTGGTTGTTGTCTACCAACCTACTACCACAGGACGGTAAAGTACCTCCCTGGCGTGGTTGGTTGTCTACCAACCTACTTACCACAGGACGGTAGTTACATCCTGGGTGGTTGTTGTCTACAAACCTACTACACATGGACGGTAGTACCTTCCCTGGTGGGGTTGCTGTCTACCACCTTCTACCACAGGAGTAGTAACTCCCTGTGGGGTTTTGTTGTCTACCTTCCTACTACCACAGGACGGTAGTACCTCCTGGGTGGTTGTTGTCTACCACCTATACCACAGGATGGTAAGTACATCTGAGTGGTTGCTGTTACAACCCTACTACCACAGGACGGTTAAGTACCTCCCTGGGTGGTTGTTTGTCCACAAAACCTACTACCACTGGACGGTGTAGTACCTACCTGGGTGGTTGCTGTCTACCTACCTATACCACATGGACGGTAGTACCTCCCTGGGTGGTTGCTGTCTACCAACCTACTACCACTGACGGTAGTACCTTCCCTGGGTGGTTGCTGTCTTCCAACTACTACCACAGGGACGGTTCAGTCCTCCTGGGTGGTTCCTGTCTTCCAACCTACTACCACTGGACGGTAGTACCTACCCGGTGGTTGCTGTTACCAACCTACTACCACAGGACGTGTAGTTCCCTCACCTGGGTGGTTGCTGTCTACAACCTACTACCACGGACGGATAGTACCTACCTGGGTGGTTGCGTCACCAACCTAACTTCCACAGGACGGTGTACTCCTGGGTGGTTGCTGTCTACAAACCTATACCACAGGCGAGTACCTCCTGGGTGGTTGCTGTCTACCAACCTACTACCCACACGACGGTTAGTACCTCCTGGGTGGTAGTTGTCTACCAACCTACTACCACAGGACGGTAGTACCTCCCTGGGTGGTTGTTGGTCTACCAACCTACTACCCACGACGGTAGTACCTCACTGGTTGGTTCCTGTCTACCAACCTACTACTCACAGGACGGTAGTACCTCCCTGGTGGTTGCTGTCCACCAACTACTACAATGGCGGTTGTACTCCCTGGGTGGTTGCTGTCTACCAACCTGCTACCACAGGACCGTAGTACCACCTGGGCTGGTTGCTGTTCTACCAACCTACTACCACAGGACGGTAGTTACCTCCTGGGTGGGTTGCTGTCTCCCAACCTATCTGCCGCAGGGGATCGGTAGTACCTCCCTGGGGTTGGTTGCTGTCTACAACCTACTACCACAGGACTGTAGTTTACCTCCCTGGGTGGTTGCATGTCTACACCTACTACACAGGACGGTTAGACTCTCGGTGGTTGATGTTACCAACCTCTACTACAGGACGGTATGTACTCCTGGGTGGTTGTTGTCATACCCAACCTACACACACGGACGGTAGTACCCCTGGGTGGTTGTAGTTACCAACTACTACCACAGGACGGTAGTACTCCCTGGGTGGTTGTTGTCTTACCATCCTACTACCACACGACGGTAGTACCTCCCTAGGTTGGTCTCCTGTCTACCAACCTACTACCACAGGACGGTCGTAGTACCATCCCTGGGGTGGTGGGCTGTTACCATCATACTACCACAGGACGGTAGTACCTCCCTGGGCGGTTGCTGTCTACAACATACACCACAGGACGGTAGTACCTCCCTGTGTGGTTGCTGTTACCACTACGACCACAGGACGGTAGTACTCCCGGGGTGGTGGTTGTCACCACCTACTACAACAGGACGTAGTACCTCCCTGGGTGTTTGAATGGTCTACCAACCTACTACACAAGGAACGGTAGGTACACTCCTGGGTGGTTTGCTGTCTCTCCAACCTACTACACAGGACGTAGTACCTCCCTGGGTGGTTGCTGTCTACAACCTACTACCACGGACGGTAGTACATTCCTGGGGCGGTTTCCTGTTTACCATGCTACTACACAGGTCGGTAGTACTCCCTGGGTGGTTGCTGTCTACCGACCTATACCACAGGGACGGTTAGTTACCTCCTGGGTGGTTGCTGTCTACCAACCTATACTACCACGGACCGAAGTACTCCCTGGGTGGTTGCTTTTCTTACCAACCTACTACTCCACACGTCGGTAGTACCTCCTGGGCTGGTTGTTGTCTACCAACTACTACCACAGGACGGTAGTACCTCCCTGGGTGGTTGCTTGTTACAAAACTATACCACACGACGGTAGTAGACCTCCCTGGTTGGTTCCTGTCTACCAACCTACTACCACAGGACGGTAGTACCTCCCTGGGTGGTTGCTGTCTACCAACCTACTACCACAGGACGGTAGTACCTCCCTGGGTGGTTGCTGTCTACCAACCTACTACCACAGGACGGTTGTACCTCACTGGGTCGGTTGCTGTCTACCAACCTACTACCACAGGACGGTAGTACCTCCCTGGGTGGTTGCTGTCTACCAACCTACTACCTAGGATGTAATATATTATGTAATATATTTGAATTACAGACAGTGTCTTAGGTACGAGTGTACATGTGATACTACTGTAATATTTTATTTTGGTAACTTTTTCCAACTGCAATAATGTGTTTTTTTAGTTGCACGTGAATTATTGTGTCTATTGTAGGTATGTAATGGCAGAAAATGAGATTTTTTTATTGTCTGCAAAACTCCACCGAGATTTATGCAAAAGAGTCACTCAAAACGTTGACTTAATTTGTTGATGATGTTTTTTGAAGAGGTAAAATGTATTATACAATCACTAGCTGTGAAAGGTGAGGAAAAGCAATAGATTTTTACCTCTGAAAGAAAAATTTAAATAACAACAAAAATAACTAACACACAAGTGAATCTGTTTTGTATCTCAATATCCCTGAAGTTACTCATGCACAGCATTTTATTTTTCAAGAATATTGATCGTAAACTCCCGTACCTGTGTCTTACAGCTACCTGTCAGCTCCCAGTACTATTATTATAATGATTAGAAAAGATATGACAAAAGAGAGCTTCCTAACCTGAGACAGTTGTGACGGGTCTGGTTATATAGGTTAGGTGGCCCTCTATGTTCTGCCGACGTACGACAATTGTATATCCCCTTAGTGGACCGTGAGTGAGGAGCGGGTCTGGACTGCTCCAGGTCACCTGCAGAGAGTACGGACTTCCAGCAGCGACCCGGACGTTACGAGGCGCTCCAGTGGGTGCTGTAATTGGACAGAACTATGTACTCTGTTACACGCTGAATTGTACCGTTACAATCTACCGTGAAAATAAATGGTATAAAATACCGACACACTGGAAACATAAACACATATGCAGTTTAATGTGATCCTTTATTGACAACGTTTCGCCCACACAGTGGGCTTTTTCAAGTCACAAACAGAAATCTGTTTGACTTGAAAAAGCTCACTGTCGGTAAAAAAAAGAGGATATGGAAGTAGTAGTTGTAGCGATACCCAATAATTTACCTCACATCTCTTGATAACTACGGTGCTTCAACCTTCACATACTGAGTTTACCAACCACATTAGACTACACCTCACTGCGCTCTCCAACACTCTCAATAAGAAGTCATTATTAATGTTGAAACTATAATGGAACATCAGAGGATATAGAGTGTTAAAGTGAATTCTGCTGAATTCCCTGTGTTCTCCAGTATGTATTTGTCAGCAAGATACTGAGCTATGTAACACAGCTCAACTCTCTGTTCTCTGCCACTCTCATCATACATGATGAATTATACAATGACTGTATACTTATAAGTGCGTAATAATGTTCCACACTCATACTACCGTTCATCCTGTACGTCATTGTTATATTATGACGGTTTAAGTGTGAATAAATGTTTTGTGAAGTTTACATACTTCGTAATGTTGATTATAATATACCAGAGTGAAAAGTTTGAACTATTATTTTTAATGAAATACTTTGCATAATATGAAGAAATTATATTAGATTAAGGCTTAGTTATATGTGTGATATCTTCATTATTACCAAGAATATTCAAGAAATTATATTGGATATTTTTATGGAACCGATGTGTCTAAACGTTAATTGGAATGTGTATTTCCAGCTGTAAAATAAATTAAGTACTTGACACCGGATGTGGATATATATAATATATAATAACATACTTTAGATAATAATAATAATAATAATAATAATAATAATAATAATAATAATAATAATAATAATAATAATAATAATAATAATAAAAATAATAATAATAATAATAATAATAATAATAATAATAATAATCATAAAAAAAAATAATAATAATAATAATAAAATAATAATAATAATAATAATAATAATAATAATAATAATAATAATAATAATAATAATATCTTTATTTCTACAAGAACATGTACAAGGTATACAGACCATAGCTGACATCACTGACATACTTCTACACTATATAGAAAACCCCTTGTTATGCTGATCATTTCCCGCAAATTAGGTTAGTTTTGTCCCAGGATGCGACCCACACCAGTCCACTAGCACCCAGGATGCGACCCACACCAGTCCACTAGCACCCAGGATGCGACCCACACCAGTCCACTAACACCTAGGTATCCATTTTACTGATGGGTTAACATAGACAACCGGTGTAAAGAAACACACCCAATGTTTCTACCCTCGCTGGGAATCGAACGCAATCCCTAGCCGTGTGAAGCGAGAACTTGAGCCTCCAGGCCACGGGGCACCGTCAATAAAGTGTGATGTATGCTGGGATATGCTTGGTTGATGCTAGTTTAGATATTAATTAGTAATATGTGAATGCGTAAGGCTGATAAACTGCATTTGAAGGTTGATATGTACAGGAGCCTATAATTACGTGCTACATATCTCAGCTATATGCTCAGAGCTATCAGCAGATAGATATCAGACTTATTTTTCTGCTGCATCTTGGAGTTGATAATAATAAAATATACGAGGTACACATTGAACATTTATTTTAGTAAGTGACAAGCTTCCAGTTACTTAAGAAATCGAACTGTAAATCAGGAGCTGCATTCTCAGGAAGCAATGGTCTACAATGGTCTACAGTGGTCTACAACGGTCTACAATTTTTGAACAGTTTTGTACATCGAGGAAAAACGTATATCACTTAACAGCATTTGGGATGCTGCAAATGATTATAACCACAATAACAATTGATTGGCTTAAGAAAACTACCCGTTTGTTTTTTAAACAATTACACACTGTGGATATAGCAAACTTTAGTTATGATTTAAACAATTACGTATTGTAAGTTTGAATCAAAATCCTTCCCCAGCATATTTTATTTACCCTCGTCATCTCCCACGTCATTAATAACACCCTTTATAAGTACAGCCACTTTATAAGTACAGCCACTTTATAAGTACAGCCACTTTATAAGTACAGCCACTTTATAAGTACAGCCACTTTATAAGTACAGCCACTTTATAAGTACAGCCACTTTATAAGTACAGCCACTTTATAAGTACAGCCACTTTATAAGTACAGCCACTTTATAAGTACAGCCACTTTATAAGTACAGCCACTTTATAAGTACAGCCACTTTATAAGTACAGCCACTTTATAAGTACAGCCACTTTATAAGTACAGCCACTTTATAAGTACAGCCACTTTATAAGTACAACCACTTTATACCTGGAGTTTACCTGGAGAGAGTTCCGGGGGTCAACGCCCCCGCGGCCCGGTCTGTGACCAGACCTCCTGGTGGATCAGAGCCTGATCAACCAGGCTGTTGCTGCTGGCTGCACGCAAACCAACGTACGAGCCACAGCCCGGCTGGTCAGGAACCGACTTTAGGTGCTTGTCCAGTGCCAGCTTGAAGACTGTCAGGGGTCTGTTGGTAATCCCCCTTATGTGCTAGTGACACCCCTGCTTTTCATTGGGGGATGTTGCATCGTCTGCCAAGTCTTTTGCTTTCGTAGTGAGTGATTTTCGTGTGCAAGTTCGGTACTAGTCCCTCTAGGATTTTCCAGGTGTCCATAATCATGTATCTCTCCCGCCTGCGTTCCAGAGAATACAGGTTTAGGAATCTCAAGCGCTCCCAGTAATTGAGGTGTTTTATCTCCGTTATGCGCGCCGTGAAAGTTCTCTGTACATTTTCTAGGTCAGCAATTTCACCTGCCTTGAAAAGTGCTGTTAGTGTGCAGCAATATTCCAGCCTAGATAGAACAAGTGACCTGAAGAGTGTCATCATGGGCTTGGCATCCCTAGTTTTGAAGGATCTCATTATCCATCCTGTCATTTTTCTAGCAGATGCGATTGATACAATGTTATGGTCCTAGAAGGTGAGATCCTCCGACATGATCACTCCCAGGTCTTTGACGTTGGTGTTTCGCTCTATTTTGTGGCCAGAATTTGTTTTGTACTCTGATGAAGATTTAATTTCCTCGTGTTTACCATATCTGAGTAATTGAAATTTCTCATCGTTGAACTTCATATTGTTTTCTGCAGCCCACTGAAAGATTTGGTTGATGTCCGCCTGGAGCCTTGCAGTGTCTGCAATGGAAGATACTGTCATGCAGATTCGGGTGTCATCTGCAAAGGAAGACACGGTGCTGTGGCTGACATCCTAGTCTATGTCGGATATGAGGATGAGGAACAAGATGGGAGCGAGTACTGTGCCTTGTGGAACAGAACTTTTCACCGTAGCTGCCTCGGACTTTACTCTGTTGACGACTACTCTCTGTGTTCTGTTAGTGAGGAAATTATAGATCCATCGACAGACTTTTCCTGTTATTCCTTTAGCATGCATTTTGAGCGCTATTACGCCATGGTCACACTTGTCGAAGGCTTTTGCAAAGTCTGTATATATTACATCTGCATTCTTTTTGTCTTCTAGTGCATTTAGGACCTTGTCGTAGTGATCCAATAGTTAAGACATACAGGAGCGACCTGTTCTAAACCCATGTTGCCCTGGGTTGTGTAACTGATGGGTTTCTAAATGGGTGGTGATCTTGCTTCTTAGGACCCTTTCAAAGATTTTTATGATATGGGATGTTAGTGCTATCGGTCTGTAGTTCTTTGCTGTTGCTTTACTGCCCCCTTTGTGGAGTGGGGCTATGTCTGTTGTTTTTAGTAACTGTGGGACGACCCCCGTGTCCATGCTCCCTCTCCATAGGATGGAAAAGGCTCGTGATAGGGGCTTCTTGCAGTTCTTGATGAACACGGAGTTCCATGAGTCTGGCCCTGGGGCAGAGTGCATGGGCATGTCATTTATCGCCTGTTCGAAGTCATTTGGCGTCAGGATAACATCGGATAGGCTTGTGTTAACCAAATTTTGTGGCTCTCTCATAAAAAATTCATTTTGATCTTCGACTCTCAGTCTGGTTAGTGGCTTGCTAAAAACTGAGTCATATTGGGACTTGAGTAGCTCACTCATTTCCTTGCTGTCATCTGTGTAGGACCCATTTTGTTTAAGTAGGGGCCCAATACTGGACGTTGTTCTCGACTTTGATTTGGCATAGGAGAAGAAATACTTTGGGTTTCTTTCGATTTCATTTATGGCTTTTAGTTCTTCCCGCGATTCCTGACTCCTATAAGATTCCTTTAGCTTAATTAAGTTCGATGCTTGCTATTTCTCTGACCAGTGTCTCCCTACGCATTTCAGATATATTGACCTCTTTTAGCCGCTCTGTTATTCTTTTCCGGCGCCTGTAAAGGGAGCGCCTGTCTCTTTCTATTTTACATCTACTCCTCCTTTTTCTTAGAGGAATAAGCCTTGTGCATACATCGAGTGCCACCAAGTTAATCTCTTCTAGGCATAAGTTGGGGTCTGTGTTGCTTAGTATATCTTCCCAGCTTATATCGGTTAGGACTTGGTTTACTTGGTCCCACTTTATGTTTTTGTTATTAAAGTTGAATTTGGTGAATGCTCCCTCGTGACTAGTCTCATTATGTCGGTCTGGGGCTCCACGCATACATGTCTGAACCTCAATTATGTTGTGATCTGAGTATATTGTTTTTGATATGGTGACATTTCTTATCAGATCATCATTGTTAGTGAGATGAGGTCTAGTGTATTCTCCAGTCTAGTAGGCTCTATTATTTGCTGGTTTAAATTGAATTTTTGTGCAGAGATTTAAAAGCTCGTGTGAGTGTGAGTTTTCATCAGAGCTGCCTCCTGGTGTTATTACTGCAACAATATTATTTGCTATATTCCTCCATTTTAGGTGCCTTAAGTTGAAATCCCCCAGGAGCAAGATGTTGGGTGCAGGAGCTGGAAGATTTTCCAGACAGTGGTCAATTTTTAACAGCTGTTCCTGGAATTGCTGGGATGTTGCATCTGGAGGCTTGTAGACTACCACAATGACTAGGTTTTGGTTCTCGACTTTACTGCTAAAACTTCCACTACATCATTTGAGGCATTAAGCAGTTCTGTGCAAACAAGTGACTCTGCAATGTACAGGCCAACCCCCCCCCCCCCTTTTGCCTGTTCACTCTGTCACATCTGTATAGGTTGTAACCTGGGATCCATATTTCGTTGTCCAAGTGATCCTTCATGTGGGTCTCAGTGAAAGCCGCGAACATTGCCTTTGCCTCTGCAAGCAGTCCACGGATGAAAGGTATTTTGTTGTTTGTTGCTGCCTTTAGACCCTGTATATTTGCAAAGAAGAATGTCATCGGACTGGTGGTAATGTTGGTACTGGGGGAAGATTTTTTTTCCGGCATTAGTATTTGTATCTGTTGGTTTGGAGTGGAGGCCATCGACTGTGGTTCCACTCCAGGAATGACTGGATTTGGTGAACGATTTCTGCCATTTCCTGCCAGTTTTTTTTCCTTCCTGGCACTAAAAAACCTCTCCCTCTTGAGTGGCTGTGGCTAGCCAGGTTTTCCCATGGCCTGGATGTTTTGTATCTTTTTGTTCCCTTTAGATGGTGTGCCTGGCAATTTAAGTTATAGCACAGTCTTTCCTGTACTGAAGAGGTACACATTTCAGGGTGAAAAAGCTTACAGGAAGGGAGTTTGCATTTTCCTGTTGTCATATGGGCATGGCATTTTCTAGGGTGGTCATAGTTGCACGTCCCGTCTGTTTTTCCAGATTTCCCATGTCTGCAGATACCAAGTGCATAGTATGTGCACAGGCTTGGTTTCCGTTTGCCTTGGGTTTCTGTGACTGTATTCCCTGTTGGTGCATGTTTCTCTGTCTTATTCCTATCCTCCCTAGCACCAACAATGGAGCTCCCACCAGTTGTTTTTCGTAATATATCCTCACTATTGCTAGTGAAGTCCTCTTGTTTGCTCTTTCCTGTGGTATTTCTAGTTTGCAATATTGGTTTTATCTTATCTTTGACTACACTTGTTTCCCCACTATGGCTCCTGTCCCCTATGAGGTCATTTATATGTATTTCTTCCTGCGTATAATTCCCGACTACCTGGACAAAATCTCCAGCTTCACCATTACTGTCTCCCAGGACAGCACCTCCAGCTTCACCATTACTGTCTCCCAGGACAGCACCTCCAGCTTCACCATTACTGTCCCAGGACAGCACCTCCAGCTTCACCATTACTGTCTCCCAGGACAGCACTATCAGCCCCACATTTACTGACTACCAGGACATCACCTCCAGCCTTACAGTTTCTGACTACATGGCCAGTATCAAGGGCAGTACCATTCAGCCCAGATTTTTTATGTTCCCATCTGTTGTAGAAAGCTTCCAGGTTGTCTATGAAAGCAGCTTTGATGTTATCCTCTTTTAATACCCTTGTGATTTTAGTCCACAGATTTATCTCATTTGGGCATACCCAAAAACACTTCCCTGTTTTAATACTGCTTGTAGCTAATTCTTGGATATCTGCACAAGGGGCGTGACACCAATTTCCACAAAAATGACAATTTATCCATGTGGAAGCCCGTTTGTTTGATTTACTGCAGACTATACAGAGCTTCATAATGATTTGAATGGTTGATTTACTGTAATTCTACTAGCAACCTCTTGAATATTCTACTAATAACCTCCTTAAATGAAGCTCTAGCTATTTGTATTTTTATTTCTAACTGTACTTGTATATTGGACAGCTTACCGTGTACGTTCCTGATTTATATTTATTGTTTGTGTTTGATAAGGGCGCCTACAACCCCATCTGTTTACAGTCTGCTTTATTGTCTAACGAATCCGTTTGAAACCAGTCGAGGGTTTGGACCAGTCAAGGGTTCGGAGACAGTCTGATCTGATCAGTGGGTCACTTATTTAAAACATACTGGTCAGTGATTTGGGCTAACACATGAAGGAACTACTGGAAATTATCTACCCGAGTAATATGTGATTTGATTGATACAAAAGTATAACTTGCGTGTTGAAGAACCGGTGATTGCTGGCAGCTCCTACAATGACGAACGGTCGAGCCTCAACCCTTGTTTATCAATCGCTTTATCTAGCTTTGCTAGTTTTTTTCGTCTCCACCACAATAAATGCTATATTATCACTATAGTTGACTGGTGGAAATTTTGGAGGAAGGACGCTTTTTCTGTAGTAATATTTGCTTCTCGTTGTGTATATTGCGACCGCTGGTAACTACAGGTTATATGAAATTCACAGTATACGTCTGGTATTTCAAGAAAAAAGAAACTAATGAAAGTCACTCCACTCCACTAAGTACCATTATAATACTGGTTAGTTGCTACTACAACACTGTATTCTGCTATTCACTGGTATCACTATATTATATGCGAGTACACTAGCAAGCCAGAAAGATTATTAAAAACAGCTGACCTGTGGTAAGTTTCTGGCGACTTCTGGCACCTGCCTCTATGGGCTTATCACTTCATTTACAAATTCACCTGTTTTCAAATGACACTTTAGCCTTTATCATCTATATACTAGGGAGCCACTGTAGTATACACTATACACTATGTATACACAATGTTATCAGGGAGACTTTCTTTCCTCTGACAAAGAAAAGTTCTATTATTATCATTTTGCACACGGGACACAGGCCTATGATTCCCCTCTGGCAGTAAACTCTGCTAGGTAGTGCACACTAATTCTCCTTTTTTGACTCAGTATATAATGTTTTCCGCCCAAGATTGGTTCCAGGCGCTAGAGGGATGTATCGTATAGGATTGATGACACAAATTAAAGCACGTAAGAGCGACCGTGAAAACACCAGAAAACCCGGAGCACAACGAGGCACGCTGACACGCTGACACGCTGTCACTCTGCCACTTTATAAGTACAGCCACTTTATAAGTACAGACACTTCATAATATAATTTTCATATTGAGTGAGTCACATTGGTATACAATGATTAGCTGTCGAGAAGCAGAGGGAGACTGTAGCTTATCGTGTTTACATTATTTAAAGTCAAGTATAGAATTCGGTAGGAAAGTATCAGAAACCGTAATGCCAAACCTTCCATTTTAGTTTTTTATGTATAATTTTTAGTAAGAAAGGAGGTTTAGTTACTTTCTTAGGGTATAAATATTTCTTTTTATCTCAAGAGTTATCTTAAAGTACACAAATAACCCGCACATAAAAGAGAGAAGCTTACGACGACGTTTCGGTCCGACTTGGACCATTGATAAAGTCACTTTGTCAATGGTCCCGCACTCTTTTATGTGCGGGTTATTTGTGTATCGTTCCAGTCACGGTATTGTGCCTTTTTGTTATTTATTTATCTTAGAGTAACTGTAGATATTAAGAAGAGTTATTAGATTCCACTTAGTTTCAGAGATACTAACCTTTATATATGTTATGCATAAAGGTGAGCTGAGGGTAGCATTATCTGTACTCCAGCTATTGGATAATGTAGATATTTTAACACTCAAAAGCTAACCTCTAAAACCCAGAGAAAAAATAGAGGGATTGATGATCAAAAGTGTTTTCCAAACATGTGAAGTACAGAGAGTGGTAAACACAAATCTCCAAACAATATCTAAGGTAACAGGATACAACCAGGTTAGAATGAAGAATAGGAATAGGACTAAATCTCTGGATTAAAAGAAACTCACCAGCATCCTCCGAAGTGCTTCGTCAATAAATCCTTATCAATTCTGAACACTCATATACTTCTATATTATAAATATGCTCATCGCTTTACCGTATTCTTCCACCTGGAGCATTGTTTTATCTCGTCATGTATTACAAAATAGTAGCCCACTGTGGATGTACTTAACGTTGCTTATAAAAACTATTACCAACCTTCCTCGAGGGTGGTGAAGACGTGGACTTGAGAGGGCTCTGAAACACCCAGGTCATTGTGGGCCATAAGTCTTACAGCGTAGGTATAATAGGGAAATAAGCCAGTCATTACATGCCAGGATGTCCACTGACCCACTGTCACATTGCGCCCATTGGATGCCCAAGATTCTTCCTCAGCTGTAGCCACGGAAGAGGAAAACCACCGTGATATTAATATTAAATTTTAAAGCACATTTCACATTTCAGATTAACTTTAAAAACATAACTAATATAAACCGTTTTATACATTCTATGTGGGAAAGGGCAGAGTTAAGTTTTGTTCATAAGTGATGCTCACCACGGTATTGTATTGTGACTGCAGCTGGTTGGGGCAGCGACCATGAGATGCGGGCTGAGCGGCTCCCAACATCAGACACCACCACATCTGAAGGTGCTGTAGGTGGCTCTGAGAAAGAGAACAAATTCATAGTTAATAGAGATAGTAACAAGAAGAACTTTGGTTGCTGAACGATCCGAGGAAGGGATCTAGGGCAACCTGTTTCTTAGTTCCCTCCACACCAGCACTGAGGTGTGTGGCCTTTACCGCAAGGACTTTATATCCGAATTTCTGAAATAAAATTTACAAATTAGAGCTTACAGAGACCAAAATTTAGAAACACCAACTTTAAAAATACATAAATCCAATTTGAACGGGCATTCCTTCATAATCTTCCAGAGTTCTCTCTCACAAAACAACCAGGACCTGAAATGTGAAACACTTCAGAAGTTGCATTGTCAGTTATCGGTGCTGAAGTTATAAAACTAATAAGATAAGACATTAACAATTTATCCGTTTTCCCAATTTCTTCGTGAAAACGGAAAAATGGCACCAATAAGCCAAAATCCAACCTTTTCTCTAAAAACGTAGTAGTAGTAGTGGTAGTGGTGGCGGAGATGGAAGTAGTAATGAGGAATTAAGGAGGAGGAGCCAGTCAAATACAAAGAAAGGGGAGCACTGCAAGGGAGCTAGGTGCCTACAAGGGAGCTAGGTGCCTACAAGGGAGCTAGGTGCCTACAAGGGAGCTAGGTGCCTACAAGGGAGCTAGGTGCCCACAAGGGAGCTAGGTGCCCACAAGGGAGCTAGGTGCCCACAAGGGAGCTAGGTGCCCACAAGGGAGCTAGGTGCCCACAAGGGAGCTAGGTGCCCACAAGGGAGCTAGGTGCCCACAAGGGAGCTAGGTGCCCACAAGGGAGCTAGGTGCCCACAAGGGAGCTAGGTGCCCACAAGGGAGCTAGGTGCCCACAAGGGAGCTAGGTGCCTACAAGGGAGCTAGGTGCCCACAAGGGAGCTAGGTGCCCACAAGGGAGCTAGGTGCCCACAAGGGAGCTAGGTGCCCACAAGGGAGCTAGGTGCCCACAAGGGAGCTAGGTGCCCACAAGGGAGCTAGGTGCCCACAAGGGAGCTAGGTGCCCACAAGGGAGCTAGGTGCCCACAAGGGAGCTAGGTGCCCACAAGGGAGCTAGGTGCCCACAAGGGAGCTAGGTGCCCACAAGGGAGCTAGGTGCCCACAAGGGAGCTAGGTGCCCACAAGGGAGCTAGGTGCCCACAAGGGAGCTAGGTGCCCACAAGGGAGCTAGGTGCCCACAAGGGAGCTAGGTGCCCACAAGGGAGCTAGGTGCCCACAAGGGAGCTAGGTGCCCACAAGGGAGCTAGGTGCCCACAAGGGAGCTAGGTGCCCACAAGGGAGCTAGGTGCCCACAAGGGAGCTAGGTGCCCACAAGGGAGCTAGGTGCCCACAAGGGAGCTAGGTGCCCACAAGGGAGCTAGGTGCCCACAAGGGAGCTAGGTGCCCACAAGAGAGCTAGGTGCCCACAAGGGAGCTAGGTGCCCACAAGGGAGCTAGGTGCTCACAAGGGAGCTAGGTGCCCACAAGGGAGCTAGGTGCCCACAAGGGAGCTAGGTGCCCACAAGGTAGCTAGGTTCCCACAAGGGAGCTAGGTGCCCACAAGGGAGCTAGGTGCCCACAAGGGAGCTAGGTGCCCACAAGGGAGCTAGGTGCCCACTGAAGGAGAGCAAGAACACAGAGGTAGGGGAGAGGGGAAATAATAAAATAAATAATAAAGGAACAGAAACACAAGACAGAAGAAAGAAAGACAACCCAGAAGAGAAAAAAGGAAAGAGGAGATAAGGAAAGGGAGATAAAGTGTTCTTATCTCCCTCTTTCTCCGTGCCCTCCGCATCTGTGACCCTCAGTTCCTTCCAGCAGAAATTTCCACTCTTCATAATTCGTTTTCCCGTCTTGGCTACACTTCCCATTTCATACACTCTGCCCTCTCACGTGCTAAACGTAATTTCTTCTATCCCAAACTCTCTACTCCTGGGAACTCTTCTATCCTCTACCTTCCCTGCATTTCCGGTCTTTCTAATCTCAACAATTCTCTCCGTCCCTTAGATATCAAGCTTACTTTCCGCCAACACTAACAATGCTCTTTTCTGTCACGTCAGAGATCACAGTCATCCTATTGACTGGTCTTCTGCTAAAACTGTCTTCCCTACTTCCAACTTTAACAGTCGCCGTCTGGTTGAATCCTCCCTAATACGCAACTTTCCTTGTATGAATCTTAGTCCTGGCTTCGTCTCTGTAGATGCCTTCCTCTCACACTACATTGTAAAATGCTAAAAAAAAAAAAAAAAACAGAACACCCGTGACTTAACCTGATTACTCCTTTTTTTTCTTCTTCTCCCTCTTCCCCTTTCCTCTTTTCCTTTTTTCTCTTCTGGGTTGTCTTTCTTTCTTCTGTCTTGTGTTTCTGTTCCTTCATTATTTATTTCATTATTTTCCCTCCCCCCACCTCTATGTTCTTGCTCTCCCTCTGTAGGCACCTAGCTTCCTTGCAGTGCTCCCCTTTCTTTGTATTTGACTGGCTCCTCCTCCTTACTTCCTGTGATTGCTACTCAAGTAGTAGACTCTCCTCATGGGATGCCTTGTAGGAAAGTGACTACTTGAAACAAGTCATACCAACTCTTGTTGACGTCAACGGCCATCACTGTTGCAGCTAGTGCGCTCACTAGAGTGTCACTTGTTGTGTCTCAAGTTCCAGATGGTGATAATATCCTTGTTAATAGTGCATATTCTAAGAGACAGTAAGATTTATGCCTTCCTTGCAAATACCTCTGGTCAGAGTGTCCGCCTCAGGGTGAACATCAACCTCGTTGACCTTGTTCACTATCCGTATCCAGTTGTGGTAGAGAACAAGTTGTCACCTGACTAGTGCGTCAGTGTTACTTCACCCAGTGAGAGTGCATCTACTCCACCTGTAGAGAAAAAAGATCTAACTCCTACTGACTTTGCAGATGAAAGTATGATTTTGTTCAAGTGGAATACGAAGGGACAGTAAGTTTGTTAAACCCATCTTCTCACCTTGTTAAACAACAGCTCTATGATGTTTGTTCAACATGTGCAACAAACTCATACTTTCATCTGCAAAGTCAGTAGGAGTTAGATCTTTTTCCTCTACAGGTGGAGTAGATGCACTCTCACTGGGTGAAGTAACACTGACGCACTAGTCAGGTGACAACTTGTCCTCTAGCACAACTGGATACGGATAGTGAACAAGTCAACGAGGTTGATGTTCACCCTGAGGCTGACACTCTGACCAGAGGTATTTGCAAGGAAGACATAAATCATTACTGTCTCTTAGAATATGCACTATTAACAAGGATATTATCACCATCTGGAACTTGAGACACAACAAGTGACACTCTAGTGAGCGCACTAGCTGCAACAGTGATGGCCGTTGACGTCAACAAGAGATGGTATGACTTGTTTCAAGTAGTCACTTTCCCACAAGGCATCCCATGAGGAGGATCTACTACTTGAGTAGCAATCACAGGGATAGTCTCAATACCCAAGGTTGCCTAAGTTTTCTCTTGGCACCTGAGGTGACTACACACTATACTGCAATATTGCGTGCATGAAGTTGTGGGAATTCGTTTCCAGACAAGAGTGACAGTGTCACCAGTACCTGATTGCTTGGCTACGTTACTAGAGAATGCAAAAGTTTGTAAAGACTTATCCAAACTTCATTCTCTGATGCAGTATGACAGATCTTGGATCCAAGCTGAATGTCCAAGAATGGTATGACCACGTTGCAAGGGTCAAGCATATAATGTAAGTCTCACATCTATGCAAATCCCAGTAGAAGATTCCCAAGAAAACTCTTTACCTTGGATGGACAAACAGGCTAGAAGCGGCCATCCCATTAAGGATGGTTACATGAGTTTGTTCTACTAGAGGGAAACAACGTGGTCTCTTATCTCTTGCGCACCAGAACTCAAGAACACATCAATGGTCGCATTGAGCACAGAAGATTTGACTATAGAACCTACTGTTGCATTAGAATGGACATGCAAACAAGAAGGCGAGTCATCATTGTAGAAGGTATTTTCAAATGCATCCCCTATACGTCTTCGTCAAAAACGTGTGAAGCAACGTCGTCAACGAGGGATTTTTTCTCTAGAATGCATAAGGCGTTATAGGAATTCTGGAAGGGGATGGAGTACTCATTATCACTGTCACCACGGGACAATTTTATTCTGGCACTCGGATTCCCCTGAACCAGATGCTTGAGGAGGGTACTGGCTGTTCCAGGAACTACGTCCCCTACCTCTTCTGTGGCCATAGCCGGGACAATCACAGAAGGATCCATAGTATGTACTAGCATGAAGAGCAATGTACTCAGATGTATGATGATTATGCATTATTTAAGCATTATTATTGTAGATTAGTTTGAGGATTTTCTTGGGTATAGTGCATTATTTCTGAATGTCTGTACAATTTATGGCAATATGTTCCTTTTCTCCACAATTGTAACAGTTTCTGGTTGTTATTATTTACATTTCTTGATCTCCAGCTGAAGCGATTACTCGCTGCCCTAGACGACGGACGTGGCTGGCCATTGACTTGATCTTGTTGTCACACAGGTTGTGCAGTAGAAGTTGCAGAACTAGGGAGTATAGTTTTTTCACACATGGAAATAAACCCGGTGCAGCAACTGCACTTTTCTGCAACACAACCAACAATGGCTCTTTTGCAGAAGGGTTCTTTCTGTCTAGCTGAATACACATACAGAACAGAAAGTGGTAATAACTGCTTAATGGCACCATAGGCCGCGAATTTGCCAATATCTAGGGTAAACTCTCTACAGGCTGGGCGTTCGAAAGTTGAAGCTTGAAATGACACCTTGAAGACAGTCAACAACTTAGAAATACGGGTAGAGAAATCCCCTAGTACTTCACCTCCAAAAGGTGTTGCATTCATTAATTCATGAAGTAAGAAATAAGGATCAAAAGCTGTTGTTTGGAAATAATAAGCACGAAGAATAGCTTTATATTCTGACCAACGTGTCAAATTATCAAAATCACGGTTAGTGAGGAGCTTACTGACTTCTCCAGGTGACCGAGAT